AAGGTTGGAGAGCAATAGCATATTTTATATATTATTTATTTAAAAAATTCCTTGTAAAGCAGTGGTTCTCAACCTTTCTAATGCCACGACCCCATAATATAGTTTCCCATGTTGTGTGACCCCCAACCACTTATACATCACCGAGTGCCAGGGGCGTGGCCAAAGAAAAGGGGAAAATATGGCGGACAGCCTTGTTTGGCGACCCCCATGAAATGGTCGTTCGACCCCAAACGGGGTCCTGACCCACAGGTTGAGAACCACTGTTGTAAAGCTTATTTAACCAAAAACCTACTCATCCATATAGCAATAGCATCTGATTTGCAACATACACCTACTTAAAGCTACTACAAATTACCTTCCTACTCTTTGACAAAAGAGTGATTAATCAATCAGAACAGAGCTGGAAGAGACCTTGGAGGTCTTCTATTCCAACCCCCTGCTCAGGAATGAAATATTAGCAGCTGAGATATTGACAATTTTATTGAGTTCCATTTAAGCAAAAGTATTCATCAGTGTGGGAGAAGCACCATCACTTTAAGTATTCTTTAGTTGTCACACTGTTGTCAAAGACTGGTGTGTAAAGCAATAGACAGTTGGTCTCAGTTTATGATTGTCTATGAACACGGAAGGTAAATCAATAATTATAAAATGTTCCTGTTACCAGGAGTGGGGTGCAAAAGAAAGCAAGACAAAAACGCACAATGGCGCAGGTATAGCAAAAAGAACTACATGTATCAAGTAACCTGTTAAATCCTGGAAATAGTTTAAGTAGCATTTTGATATTGATGTGCTGGTCACTAGTTATGTAGCTAACAAAGGAAATAACAGTGTAGACCAGCAGGTGTCAGTTGGTGTTCTTAATAGCATGCAACCTACTCAAGAAGGAGGAAAAAAATTACAGGGCTGACTTGCAAAACTTTGCAGAACACTGCATACCAAAAATAGGTTTAATGAAAGAGTTCCAAAAAAGAATGAATATTTTGAAAAATTCCTCACTGACTTAAAGCTATTGTAGACTTTAATTATGGCCAACTCATTGAATTTGTGATAAATCATCAGGTTGTGTGAAAAAAGACCATTAGAGGATGTTGATTTGACTCCATACAAAACAATATCGATGTGCAAGGCTGAAGTGACTCCTCAGACACTTCAAATTATAGAAAACAAATCTGAAGTGGTCATAGTAAGCAATTTAACTGACATGGGAGAGTTGAATAACAAAGCAGGGATAGAAACTTTTCTAAGTGTGAGCCTGTAGATCTGAGGCCTAACTGCTCAAATTAGGTGAGAACATCACTGAAGGTGGTTATTGGACTAATTAGCTGTGCTTCCTGTCCCCCCCCATCTTTTAACTGATATTTTTGTACTTTTATTGTTTATTTTATTGTTTTCATAGCTTTGCTATTGTTATTTTTTATATTTTTAATCATTTCTTTCCATTTTATTCTTGTAAGCCAGCCAGAGTAGTTCCACAGTGAGATGGGCAGCAAAAAAATTAATAAATAAATCAATAAAATAAATCAATATTACAAGAAAGATTCAACCCATTACAACAAATACAAAGAAGGACAATGCGGTGTGAGACCTGGAAACTAGGTCCTGTAGGAAGGAACTGAGAAAATTGAGACTGTTTGAGAAAATATGATTGAGGAAGTTATGATAACCCTTATTAGGTTATCATAAGGTTTATCTAAAGTTTTTAGATTAAAGATGTTTATGTATTTATTTATTCAATTTCTATAACTGCCCACCTCAGTCAATGACTCTGGGCAGCTTACAATAATGTATTGCAAGAGATGGATTGATGGTTGTAAAGTACAAGAAAACAAATTCTGCCAGAATGTTAGAGAAAAAAACAGTATAATGAGTTTAACAATGGAACCAGTTAGGGCACTTCTACATCACTTAGTTTCCATCCTGCAGTTCCCTCAATAATAATAATAATAAAACCATTTTCAGCTTATCTCTATTCATTATTTTTGCTAACCTCAGAATACAGAGAACAGGAAGGGAAATTATGGGCTAACTGCCCTTTAGCTGATCAGCGGAATTATTAAAAAAAAACCAAAAACAACCCATCACAAGCTATTGCAGGACCTGAAGAACGAACAATCCCTTCATCCTCAGTCCACATTAGAAAGTACATACTTGCATGAATTTGATTGTGTTAGAGAATTTTAATTTCTCTGTTGGTGAAAAAATAAATCAGAAGCTCTCACAGTTGACTGCATTTAGCTGATTCAAATAACCCTTTTATATTCATATCAAAATATTTACAATACCATACATTTTTCTTTACAGCAACATAGCTCAATGAAGACTTCTTACAGCAGTGGTTCTCAACCTGTGGGTCGGGACTCCATTTGGGGTCGAACGACCATTTCATGGGGGTCGTCAAAGAATGCAGTCCGCCATTTTTTCCCCTTTTCCTTAGCTGTGCTACTCCCTTTTATTTTATTGGCTTTTGAAAGCCAATAGAATAGACTCTCTTGAATAGAGTCTAATTCTATTGGCTTTCAAAAGCCAATAGGAATTGTCCAGGCTGTCTCTGCCCTGCTGAGCCCGCCAAAAGTCCATTCTGCAAATGGTGCTGCACCAGTTGAGTAGTCCTTAACTTACGACCGGTTGAGTAGTCCTCGACTTACGACCAGTTGGGGGTCGCGGCATTAAAAAGGTTGAGAACCACTGTCTTACAGAGAGATACAGAGACAAACCTGAGACTGGAAAAATCCAGCTTCTAACTCAATACCCTTTTTGCACAGACTCAGTAGCACTTTCTTCACATTGGCTGACTGAGTTACCACATGACTCTTCCTGCTCATGAATATTCCAACAGATTGTTTCAGAACAACAACAAAAACTTCAACTCTCTCACCCCCCTCCTCCCCAGGAAAAATTCTGAGCAGTTACTCTAAAAGAATAATTGAAAAGCCACCAAGTTATCATTTCTCTGTTGCACTTAAAATCTTTTTGTTAGGCTGGGATTCATATAGAAATAGCATGTCGACATTTGGCAAGCGAACACTTTTTCCAATAGCTGTGATCTTAGCTGGAGGCTGCTGAGGTGACCTGGAGTAAAGGAGAAGTGATGCATTTAAAGAATACCTATGGGCATGAGGGAAGTTAGCCCAAAGAAGGAAATATTAAAAAGGCAGAAAAATATATTTTTCCTCAAAAGGACTTTTTAAAACCAAACCTGGCTCCAAATCTATCTCTCTGCCCCAAGCAAGATTTTAGCCCCATACAAATGCAGATGTAAAACCATCAGAGAGTTGGAGCCAGAGCAATCAAGAAGACAAAAGAAGATCTGCATACCCCACCCAAACTCTAGGAGTCAGCCCCATCACCTGGGAAGCAGGATAGGATAATAGAATTAAACCACAGATATCAAGGCCTAGACAAACACTCAGAAACAGTCTCAAGGTTCCTGCCACAGAAACGGGAAACTATTCCAAACAAGGCTAGAGGGGGTATAAAAGCCTACTACCCCATGTGCTCAGTCTCTTCTCTCCTCTGTACTTTCCTGAAGATCATCTTTCTACAATAAACTGTAACCTTCTTCCCAAAGCAGTCATCATGTTTGCTTATTTATTCCCGGCTTGGATGAACCAGGATGAAGACCTTACTTCTATCAGTCAGGATCCAGGAAACAGGACACTAAAGATTGCTAGAGAAGAGGGAAGAGAATTCTTCAGCCTCTGCAAAATGTAAATGAAGTACATTGCTTAATCCTCTTCCCATCAGAGAGATAGTTACTAAAGCCAAACTAAGCCAAACCAAATAGCAGACAGTGGTCCCTTGCAGCAGAAATGGGGAAAACAGAAGACCTATTGATTTACCCCAGATTAAATTGATTCTTTCTTGGGCTGCATTAAGAGTAAAACCAGTTGCCAGGATCTGCAGAGTCCAATTAATCCAGATAAATCATGATAGTATTTTACACTGAAATCAGCAGATTGGTGTGCATTTCTTTAGTCATATTTCCCCTCCTCTGTACCCCCACACCCACAGAAAGCTCACCTAGCCTCCTAAAATTAAAAAACAAACGAACAAACAAACAAAAAAGAGGTAAGAAAGAATAAAGCTATAATCCCCGTCAATGGCAAGAAACTGATTGTGAAAACAGTCCACCCACAAATGTTAGTTTCAGCATTGTTAAACTGAAAAATAGCATTTTTGCAAGTCTGAAGGCATTGTAGTTAAGACAAATAAAGCACCTGAATGTATGTGAGGTTGGAGAACACCAAGTTCTGGAACTGATACTGGAGCATTTCCTTCGTTACAGAGGTAGTTTGCTTTCATTTATGTTCAAGCAGAGTCTGGACACATGCTTGGATTCTTGCACTGAGAAAAGGGCTAGATACAATGAACTGCATCATTTATTCTAATCCTCTGATTTTATTACTTTGTTTTTCCTGAAGAGAAAAAAGTTAATATCAATATAAAACAAATGACTGTTTTAAAAAAAATGAGAAACACCTTCTTATATCAGGAAGACTTTTTTTTTTTTTTTTTTGCCTTTTTGGTGGCAGCTAGTGGAAGAAGTGGTAGGTTTGCCAGAAAATCAAGAAAAATGGTGGAGTGAAAACATGTAAGAACAAGGTCACAATGCTGACTTAAAAGCAATTGAGGTTCTTACATAAAGTTACAGTTATAAGTTACTATTCTTTATTTCTTTTAATTTATTTTATTTATTAATTTATTTCTTTTCTTGTTTCCTTTGGGAAATTCTATTCTATTCTATTCTATTCTATTCTATTCTATTCTATTCTATTCTATTCTATTCTATTCTATTCTATGAAGGCACAGTATTTCAGAGACAAATTAGGGCTATCAGGTGTTTGCCCAAGATAAAATAATTTCAATGTTACAATCCCTTTGTCTCATATCTGATCACATTTAAGCCACAGAAGTTGCCATATGAAAGAGATGAGGTCATAATTGCCAAACCCTTTAAATAAAAGGGCAGGAGGAAGCAGAGCTTCATAAACTCAGTCACCATCTTGCAGAACAGACTGCACTGGCTTCATTGAAAGACATGCTCCTCTTGGTCCTTGACTAGCTTAAGACATCATCAGAACCCCAGGAAAATGTCACGATGTAGGTGCAGAAATCCTAATCGCAGCAGGCGGAGACGAAAACGGGGTTCTGGAAGATCAAGGAAAAGAAGGACGGGAAGAAGAGGTAAAGGCAATTTTTATGAAATGCATAAAGCGATGAAAATCAGCAAATAATCAAGTATTACTTTTATTGAAATCGATGTTCTTTATGGGTAAGAAAATTGGAATTTGAATACATATATTCTTTCTCAAGATGAGCTCATCTCAAGTCCTTGGAAACCTGAAATAAATAAATTGTCATTACCTTTTCTAGGATATTTTCAATTACCCAGTCTGTTCTATAGTACTAGGATTTTTTTTTCATTTTTGTTTCCACAGTCTCTGTAGCTCATACAGTTTACTACTACAGGAAGATCAAATAGCTTTGCGAACCTCCCATTCTATGCAACAGTTCTGGACATTTCGGTCATCACCAACAAGATGATTTCTGAATGAACCACAGTTCCAGCAAAGCACATGGTTTGACATTCCCGTTGCTGCTTCCCCAAAGAGGAGCATTCTGTCAATAAAAACCTGAAGCCGCAATGTCTTTTCTGAATTGTTAATTCAGATTTAAATTTCTCGATGGATGGGGTGTATGTATGGGAATTGGGAATCTTTTGTGAACAGGCCTTTGAGATTTTGCAACAATGTTACGATGATGGGATCATGGAATTTGAAGTCCAGGTCTTTGCATATAACAGGTTCACTTAAAACATCTCTGACCAATTACCATTTGTGGCTTGAAGACCTCCAGTGAAAGAGAATCTACCAAATTGTGTAGCAACCTCTTCCACTGTCTGAAAGTGTATACACCTTATGCCCTGATATCTAAACTGATGAGTCAATTTCCCCTTCTAGTAGAAACAAGTGAAATTAACTGGCACTGTTTGGGTGTGGTCATTCAGGCAGCTGTGAATTCCCTCTAAGAATAGGATCATCTTTTTAAATGCTTTAGCATGGGCAGTTCATTATGCTGAAAATAGATACAATATCTAACATACTTCTATTATAAATATATATTTGCTTCCAACAAATTGACAGTACACTTCTAAAACAATTTAGAAGTGCTTATATCGTTTGCACTATACTGGACATGCAGTCTAGAATCAAACGTTTCAGGTCTGTCACTAATCCATTATGAGTTCATTCTAGGTTCTGAGTCCCCCACTGAGACAGGAAATGGAGTGGAATAAATAAGACTATGTTGAATTAAATGTTCACAGTGCAGCCAGTTAAAGAAGCTCACAGCACTTTGTCCCTCATAAAAACTTGGCAATTTTAATATAGATTTGATTTAATTTAATACTGACTTAATTTAATACTCCAGGGCTGTGTGCTCTCTCCATTACTTCTTTCTCTTTGTACCAATGACTGCGTGTTTAAGATCCTTCTGTTAAAGTATTGAAGTCTGCAGATGATACAACAATCATTGGTCTCATTGAAGACAATAATGAGTCTACCTAAAGATGGGAGGTTAAACAACTGGCCTGTGGTGCAGCCAGAACAAACTGGAGCTGAACACATTTAAAACTGTAGAGATGAGAGTGGATTTTAGGAGGAGCCCTCCTATTCTACCACCTCTTACAATATTAGACAACACAGTATAAATGGTAGAGACCTTCCAAATTCTGGGTTCTATAATCTCCCAGGATTTAAAATCGACACCTAACATTAGAACCATCATTAAAAAGGCACCACAGAGGATGTTCATCCTGGGTGAATTCAGAAAATTCAGATTTCCCCAGAAGCTGTTGATACAGTTTTTCAGAGGAAGTATTGAGTCTGTCATCTATAACTATCTGTTTTGGTACAGCAGCTAAACAGGACAGGTACAGATTCCAATGGATAGTTAGAAATGCATAATAAACAACTGTGACCAGCCTGCCTTCTATAGAGGATCTGTATATTGCGCAGGTCAGAAAGAGGGCTGAGAAAATATCTACAGACCCTTCACATCCTGGACATAAACTGTTTCAACTCCTCCCTTCAGAACGCCACATAGGGGACTGCATGCCAAAACAACTAGACACAGGGACAGGTTTTTCCCTTGTGCCAACACTCTGCTGAACACTTAATCCCCCAATATTTACCCCTGTAGTACTATTATCTTTCTCATCTTTTCTACGACCTTCTCCTATTGGTATCTGATGATTATATTACTTTGTTGTTTATATATTCACTGCGAACTTATGCATCAGAGACAAATTCTTTGTGTATCCAACCATGTTTGGCCAATAAAGCTCTTCTCTTCTCTCCTCTCCTCTCCTCTCCCCTCCCCTCCCCTCCCCTCCTCTCCTTGCAGGAAATTTACAACACAGAAGGATATAAAATATTTTTGTGTGACCTTACTATTATAGGAAAAAGTTATATTCATTGATTCCTATGCTTTCTAGGAGCTGAATGATTAAAAAATCCATAATTTGTTTTGTGTATTGTAAAAAATGTAGTCCTGAGCCTTATATGCAATCTGCATATATACCACAGGCCTTCAATTATATTCCCCAAATGTATGTGTATTTAGTAAAACGTTCTGACATTCTGAAAGAGATAGGGTTAGTGGGGAGTTTGCAGAAGGCCATAATGATTGATATCTTATATAATATCCTTTTCAACAACTCACTTAAGCATTCAGAATACTACCTATAGAAAAATGTAGAATTTGCTTCTTTGAAAGACAGTATAATTATGCATTTTACCCATAGTAGTAATTTCCAAAAGACATTCTAAACCACTGCATTTAAATTTAGAGTTAGATTTTTGGCTTCATTTGGAAATCTTACATGCAGATGCATAGACACACAGCTATCATTTCCTATTTAGCCAAATGAGTAGCTACCTCTTTCTTTAAGGCAGTGGCTATATAATCTTTGCTAAATTCTGTTATAATATCCTGGTGTTATGTTGTGATAGAATTTTTCTTTTAAGTGCTACTGCTATTATTCAATTTTAATATCAAGTCAAATGCAAGAGACATTTTAGTCTTCAAAGTTAAATCTTTAAGTCTTTAAATCTAAGTAACACCCTAGAGCTTCTAGATGGAGAAAACAGGAATGATTCAAAACTACCAACTTTCAGTACAATTAATCTAGCTTTTATGTTGTATTTTAATAATTTTTAACTTACATTTCCTTAAGCATTAAGGCTCCTAAGTAACTAATCAAATTCATTCAAATCTTTACTTTGCTTGGAGCTCACAATTTTATAGTGGTTGATTAAGACTATTGTTTCTATGTCTATCACAAGATTTCATACATGTATGTTTTGTTGATATACTATAGCAGGGGTCCTCAAATTACGGTCCATGGGCCGCATGTCGCCCGCCCTGCCTTTTTATCCAGCCCGCCTCAACCTCCCAGGCAAGCCGTCCAATCGCGAGGAGAGGGATGGTGTTGAGAGCCCCGGCCAATGGGAGGGCAGCATGTGGATTCACTGGAAATGTTCTTCACTTAAAAACTCATTCAAATAATTAACTAATTCATTTTTCTTGTTTCATTTTTCATTTTATACTTGATTTTACATTGTTCTACAATCATTTTTTTTCAAACTATAGTCCAGCCCCCCAACAGTCTGAGGGGCAATGAACTGATCCCCTGTTTAAAAAGTGTGAGGACCCCCGTACTATAGTTTCTTATTTATTAGAATCAAATGACTTAATGCACTTCTACACCACTGCCATGTCCATTTCCCAATCTCTCAAAAGTGTCTTAAAGAAAATTTGTGGGCAACTTTATTCCATTAAATTCAAATGCTGCATATGATTATTTTTCTTTCCATTCCTATTTTAATCATATTTATAGTTTATTTCACAAATGTGTTTGGTGATTCCTCCCCCCCCCAAATTGCATGGTTCTTTTTAGTGTGGGGCGGAGGGGGGGAGCTGCACTTTTCTTACATTTACAATCATTATGTCTTGGGGAAGATGCTACAGAGATTGAACATTTTTAAGGTTTGGCTTGAGGGGAAGCTTAGTTGAATTTAGGAGTTGGGAGCCAGAGTAATGTAAAAGTCTTCATCGACAGAAAGCTAACAGCACATAAGCTCCCCTGAACTTCAATGTGAGTTCAGATGTACTTGTTGAGGTAGAAATAAATTTGTTTAGCTAACCAACACTAATGATCACATAGATCAGGGGTGTCAAACTCACAACATCACGTGATGTGTCACGACATATCATGACCTTTTTTTCCATTGCTGGTAATGTGGTGGGCGCGGTTTCAGCATCACACATCCGGCCCATGGGCCGGCAGTTTGACACCCCTGACATAGATGCTAAGTTTTTGTAGATTCAGTTCAAAGACCCCACATTGAAGACTTTAGATCAGGGCTCCCTTGGGCAAGAGGCAGGCCCATGCATACACGTGCAGCTTGACTTGCATGGGCCGGTTCTCTTCTCCCTCCTGCCAGGCCAGCAAGTCATAAAGGTTGGCGACTGCTGATTTAGATCATTTGTTCATACAAGATTTTCAGAAATCTCTCTCAACTAGAATCTCAATTCACCAATCAAGACATTTTCATTTTCTCTTCAACTCTAAGTATTCCTAAATCTATTGCATTCGGACTATTCAATCCTTTTTTCCCCTTATACCAGTTCTACCATGTTTGCTTCATAGTTACTTTCTCAGTCCAAAATCCCTCTCCTCCCTGACACTGATCCTAACATTTTAGTTGGGTCTTCCTTATTTAACCATTTTAGGTGGGTCTTCCTTATTTTAGCTACTAATTACCAGACACAATGACAATATTTCCTTGCTAGTACACATGTACTATACGTAGTTTTATATCTACCTCAAAACTGAAAACAAAGTATTATAAAAATACAACATATATTATGGCATAAATCTTAGTATGCAGTTGAGCCTACTTACCTGTTTCAATGAATGGGAATCATAGCTCTTATGGCAAATTTGTCTTTTGTGTGCAAAAAGTCTCAGGTTCAACACCTGTCATCTCCAGATAAGGTGGAAAACTTCCAGTCAAAAATAATGGTAAACACATCCAGGTAGTTTCATACACAAATGGATTTAAGAAAGAGAATGGACCTATTTTCCAAAGCACCAGAAGGGAAGACAAGAAGCAATGAATGGAAACTAATCGAGGAGAGAAGCAACCTAGAAGGAGAAATTTCCTGTCAGTGAGAACAATTAACCAGCCTTGCCTTTGGAAGTTGTGGGTGCTGTATCATTGGAGGCTTTTAAAGAGACTGGACAGCCATTTATCTGAAATGGTATAGGTCAGGGGTAGACAACCTTGGCTCTTTTATGACTCGTGGACTTCAACTCCCAGAATTCCTGAGCCAGCATTGCTGACTCAGGAATTCTGGGAGTTAAAGTCCACAAGTCATAAAAGAGCCGAGGTTGCCTACTCCTGGTATAGGTCATCATACTTGAGCAGTGGGTTGGACTAGAATAGGGCTTTTCAACCTTTTCACAGATTGTACCAGTTTTAGGACATGACAATATTTGAGTACCACCAATGCTTAGCAAGATGTCAAAAACTTGATGACTAAAAAAGGGGGGGGGATTTTGGGTTTTACTGATTAGATT